CGACAGAAGAAGGTGGGTTGCAGAAGCGCACTATGCCGCCTAACTTTTTTTTTTAAACTGATACTTAGGCCATTGGCATGGCTGATCAGACGTCTGAATTGACGGACAGGGACTTTATCGAGTCTGAATAGTTAGGTATGATTGGAATCCATGCATTAATTTATTACTAGTTGCAGCTTCGATTTGTACCATAGTGTGTTCTGCTCTCTGACCCATTATCGTTAGGAGTGCGCCATAAATGCAAATTGACGTTCTTCTAATATTCTGTTTTCTGCTTTCTGCTCAAGTAACTTGACCATCGGATTGTCGTATTTTGTTGTTGTACGATCAAGAGGATTTCTGCAATCTAGCGGAATCGAATTTATAATTTTTGACGTACATCCGTTGTTTCTCGGGCGAACAACATTGGCTCCTCTTCTCTTGGAGTCGTAGAGAACAGAAATAAGGTCTGTTCGTTCAGAAGATATTTCCAAAGGGACGCCCTCCATAACTTGTTGCATGAACATCAGTTTGCTCTCTTCGGCTTTAGCTGCAGACCAACATTCAGCACAGACGGTTGAATCGAGCAGTTCTTTCTTCACCCGCATGGATAGCTGATTGTCGACTAACGATGTCCTACAACCGCTAAAGATGGCCTTTGCAAAGTTCCATTTTCGGCTGATTGCCCCGTGTAGCGAGTTCATCTGATCCTCTGACGGCCAGTGCATGCATGGCTGGTGACTCCTTTGAGTCCTTCGACATTAGCGTATGCGGAGCCCTCGGACCAGTGCCCGTTTCCGTTTCACATTAATTTTGTCTTGTAGAGGTTAACCTCCAATCCGATTATGAAAAATTGTTCTTGTAACTGTTGGATCTTCTGTCGGAGCTCCATAGTGTTTTGTGCGATGCCGATGCAGACGTCCGCATATATCGAGTGCTTACCTTCTTGTATTAGCGTGCAAAGGGTTTACTTGAGAAGCAGAGAAGTTGAGTTATTATAAAGTACTCATATGTAGCCATGTCGGAACTGGCATAACTTCATCGTTTGCATTAACCTCTTGC